AACCAGAGCCAGAAACAGTGAAGAGAAAGAAGTGTCAGATGTTTCACTTCCTGTTAGTCTTCGCACTAATCATGTGTGACATTAACCTCCATAAAGCATAAGCTTAAAACTGTGATATTTCACTACAATTACTTTATATATATATATAGCTTTATATATGTATTTATTATTTAGAAATGTGCCAAAAATGTACCATTTGAATCAGATTTTGTGAAAAACAAACAAACAAAAAAAAACATTTATATATATATATACATAGTATTGTAACTTGGCTAGACTGCACAGAAGACATTTCTGACTTCTGTCTACCTCAAGTCATGCTTGTTGTGTTTCCACTGAGGTGCAGGCAGGACTTTATATTGCAGTGAAAAATGAGCCCACAGCAAGTAGTGACAGGAGTCAAACATGCCCAGAAACTGCTTGAAGTTCAGAGGGTTAAAAAGATCTGCCCGTGTTTGTATAAATGTGTGAATGAGATGCAGAAAATATAACACGTTTCATGTCTTAACACAAACAAGTGATAGTCCATCTTCTATCTCCTAAAGTCTTGGAGCAGACCAGGAAATAGAGGTCTCTTGTTTTACCAAATTCAACATGACTGCCTCAGTTTTGTGGCTCACATGACTTTATTATACTTCTAATTGAGCAAATGTTGTAAACTGTGTCCATTAGCACATATACCCATGTGGAAAAAATAGATAGATCACATGGAAAGTGTTCATTTTTTTCTGCATATTTGAAAAACTACTTGCTCCTTTTGGAAGCTGCGACTACAGAGAAGATGATGTACTCAATCAAATGCAGCTTGCAGATTTGAATCACTTTCAGATATAGTAGGGGGATATAAAACTGGTTGTATGCGTGTGAAACCCCTCAAACATCCTGTAACTGGAATTTTGGAAGACTGGTTATAACATTTGTCAAAGCAGATATCAAAGACATCAGTCAAAGAAGTTGACAATTATACAAAACACCTGCAAGAAGTTATTGTTGCTAAACGGGCAAAAACTTGCCTCTAATGTCAAGGGTTTAGTTAGTTTTTACACTGAGACATACATCTACTGACATCTTTTTTTAATAGCTTATGGAGTATTGTTGAGATGTATCAAAAATAGCCATCATGTCTGTAGGATGAGCTTGTTTTTTCACATGACTGTGCATTTCCCTGGATCAAAGCTTTTTACAGAGCAACCGAGTGCATCGAGGAGATCGCACACACTTTGGCAACGTCTCCCGAGCTCCTCAAACTGAATACATAATTTGGATAAAAGTGCTTAAACAGAAATCAAGCTGATTAAACTCGTGTGGCAGCTCTGTTTGACGACAGCAGCCTGTTGTACGCGAGCGCCACACATCTGTTTCCACACATTTCTGATCTATGTGTTTTGATTCTACATTTGAATCCGCCCCAGCTGGGTCGTTGTGGTTTCCCAGGGGGATCCGGAGCAGAGATGACAATTACAACTGGGAAGATGTTGGCATTTCAACACCCAGACAATGAATTAGCCGCTGCTGAAAGGCCACATTTTATCTGTTGATGCTCTGCAGTTGGACAAAGGTTACTTTCCAGGTTACTTTGTGGTGGTTTTTACTCACCTCCGTTCTTGTATTTGCTTTAATTTCATAGTACAGTAATTAAAAATCATTTTTTGACCTATCCATCCCTCTGTTCCCCCTTTTTCAATATTTGCTTTACAGTATTTTCTTTGTCCGTTCTGTCTCCATATACCTGCTGTAAAGCCCATCCATTCCTCCAACCATCCATCCAGTCATGATTCATCCATCATTTCATTTTCCAGTATTTTTCAGTACCTGTAACAGCAGTCGCTCATCTCCAATAATGGCGGCTTTCCTCCAATCAATCACTTCGGAGAAGGGAAGCTCCCAGCCGTTACTCAAAATAACCGGAATACAGGCGGCCTGCAGGAGAATATAGATGAAACACGGAAGGAAAGATCAGCAGCAAGAAATCATTCGAGGCTGAAGTTGAAAAAAGTGATGGGCAGAAAATAATCATTACTTGATTATCTGTATCACGAGCTGCTGTCACATCACATTCCTAAATATATTAATAAATGCCAGAGTCAGAATTTATTTTGGAGGAAAAATGGTAAAGCTTTAAATCAACATGCTGTAAGATATTTTAAGAACATATACAAGGAAAGTGTTTGGATTGGTGAAAATTTTAGATTCACTTAAAGCTGCAGTTGACAGAAATCATCTTTGTACTCTCATTAAACATCCACCACGTGAATTAGTCCTCCATCCAACCAGTTGCACCGCCACATCCAGCACTGGGAAAATCTGCTGTCGTGATCTAGATTATCTAAAGAAAGATTAGTTTGGATTTTTTCACCAATGATGTCAAAACGATGCTGCCAACCTCAGATTTAANAAATATAGATATCGGATAATTTTCTCTATTAACTGATTTGTTATTTTGTGTATGAAATGTCAGGAAATAGTGCAAGAGCCCAATATAAAATCCTCAAAGGTCTCGTTTTGTCCACAACCTAAAGACATACAGTTTACTTTCATGGAGGAGGAAAGAAACCACAAAATATTCTCATTTACGAAGCTGGAAGCACCAAAGTTAGACTTTTTTTTTTTTTAAATGAACATAAATCACTTAAACTGATTAATTGATTATCAAAACAGCTGGAGATAAATTAAGTAGCTCGCAACTAATTATTTGATAGATTTGTTGCTGCAGTTCCAGTATAGTATCAATTGTTTAACGAATGCTTTCAGCTCTTGTTTCACTGCCACCCCACATAGAAGAGGAATATGAAAAACCTCAGGGACAATCTTTTATCGTACAAAATTGTGCTATTTATTTTCTAAGATAGTTTCTACTGTTCCTTTCTTTACATTTTCCAAGTAATTTCTTTTTAACATGCAAGTCAAGAAGGAAAAATAAACCTTTAACAACCACTGTTCACCAAACTGCAGGATTAAAATGGCTGCGTGGTGTGTGTGTTCAGATGTGGCGGGTAAGTGGGTGTGCAAATACACATGAAGAGAAAAAAAAGTGAGCACAGCAGTGGTCATGTTTTTTATTTTATCAACAGGTTTTATCCTGAAAACCTTTGAACTCTGTGCTGTTTTCCCCGTCTCTGCATTGTTTTTATTAATTCTGTACGTGTCTGCATCTAGATCAGGAAAATTCATGGAAAAATGCTTGTTTTTGTTCAGCCTCTGTAATAGATGTGAACACCCTCAGTGTCCCTGTCAGAGCATGTTTATCACTTCACGCGCATTATCTTAACCAACAATTAGCACGCGTTAAAAACGGGTTTGTTTTGTCGCAGGCAACGAACCCGACAACAAATCTTCCGACAACATTATTGTGTCATGGTGGGCCTCGGTCATGTTAACTGATGCTAAAATAAATAAATAAATAAATAAATGAAGGTTTCTTTATTTTATCTAAAAGCCAAATTTGTGATATTTTTAATGATGGCTGTCTGCTATTTTGTGTTTCACAGAGAAAAATGTAATTATCATCATTGCTAGGTGCTGATAGAAGGCTGACAGGGAATCAGAGACACAATTAAAACAGACACATTTCGACTCCCATCCACACAACACACACACACACACACACACTTCCCAGGCTTACTGTCCAGGTGTTGGTACAGGCCATGCAGGTGACACACAGTAACGGTGAGAGTAATTAGAGAATGTAAATATCACGAGCTCAGTCTGCTCGTGTAATTAAAAGGGACAGAAGACGATTGAATTGTAAAATAATCCGTCTTCGATAAAAGCTAGTTCCTGCGGGAGGTGTGAGTGACCGTGAATATTGCGGCTGTCACATCTGAAAAAAAAACCATTTACTACAAGACACGTGACTGCAATTAGACTTCCCACCTTCTTTCAGCTGAACTCTGTGTCGACACATCACCTATATGCTGACAGGCTCCACTCATGGCAAGAGTTTGGCCCAGTTTCTCCAAAATATACTGTATGAGTTTTATTAAAACACTGTCTTCCTATCTGATTCCACTGACAGTGAGCATCAGCTGATTTGTTTCTGTGTGTGAGTGTTGTTTTGATTTTTAGGTTCAAATTTGAAAAAAAAAACCAACAAAAAACTAATACTACATACACATGCTATTAATATTAAATAGTCTAATACAAGTTTACCTAACGCTCTGAATCCAAAAACTCGCTGGTGGGTTTTGAAAGGTGGGTTATTTTTAAAGAATCTGCAAACCAGAGCCAGAAACAGTGAAGAGAAAGAAGTGTCAGATGTTTCACTTCCTGTTAGTCTTCGCACTAATCATGTGTGACATTAACCTCCATAAA